TTTATCAGCACATAAATAGATGGATCTGTTTCAAGACAGAACATATTTATATTTTTGTAACAAACATAAAAAGTTATTTCTTAAAAAGGATATCTTCTAACATTATTTATGGCAGTTCATATGTATATGAGGAAATGCAAGATTATAAACATTTCATAGAACATACAATTAACAAATTATTCTAAGTCTAATTTTCACTCAGACTTGGTTAATGCAATTTTTAAAAGCTAGCAGATGGTTTGTGCATTAGCCTACAATAAATTATAACACTTATAAAGACAGTTATGTACCAGGAATTGCAAAGAATCCAGGCTACAGATGACCCTTCTGATTTTTAATAATCTCTGTAATTGATGTACAGGCAAAAAAATAAATAAAAAAAAAATACACAGATGTCTAATGTGGTTTCTTGATGAAGCACAAATCACTTCTATTTACTCAGGCAATGCTTCATGGTCCAGTTCATTTCTTAATTAAATACATCAAGATGCACAAATGGCATTGAAAAGAACGTTTAGTGTGCTAGATGTTCAGTTGGGGGTTTTAGATACTTTCCTTGCTTCTCTAAACCCTGACTCATTTATCATTTCCCTTTAAAACATGACTAAAACACATTAATCCCAGTGTAACGAAAGACATCGTGGCTTCTCCTTAATTTGTTTTTATTATCTGCTTAGAATATTAAACTACGTTATCAAATATTGGAAGTTATACATCAAGGACTTTTGTAAAAAGAACCAGTGGGATTATGGTTAGGTAATGCTTAGCTGAAAAGTATGGAACAGTATAAATATGATAATCCTTCAATATATATTTTATTTGGCAAGCTAACATTTAACCTGGATATGGTTTAACCCGGACAATTCCATGGACAAATTGCCTTAGTTTGGCCTTCTCAGCAAACAGCTTTGTTGCATTTTTTTTTAAAAAAGATGGGTGTCATATCTTTGTATCATTTTGTTTCATGGTAAAAAGATTGATTCTAAGAAAGGAGGAACAAATTTAGACAATATCATTTATATATTATATTACTAAGATAACAAAGATTGTCTAGTTAAACAATGAGGATCTATAATTGTAAAAGCTGCATCGTGATAAAGAATGAGAGATAGAAGATGGATCCTTTAAATTATGTAGTTTAAGTTGATTGTTAAGGGTACAATTAATTGCAAAAAGACTTACTCAAATGATCCTAGATGACATAAAGCCTCGCTTGAAGAGATGATCAGTAAGCAGAAATTGGACATATTTTTCTGTTTTACTATACTAAGTTGCCCAGAGAAGCCCCACTGTGAGATAGGAAGCAAATAAATTTAACAAATGAATAAAAATAAAATAAAATTATGGACAAATAAGAGCATTTGTCTATAAGGTTGCCATGGTTCTGGCTTGACTCAATGCCATCTGAATAATTCATGTAGCTACAAAGATATTGCACATTCATTCAGGTTTATAACTGCTAACCCCCAGAAAATGACGACAAAATATAATTTTATTACAGGTAGAAATTATGAGATCATCAAGAATAATATTCAAAATAGATTTGATGGAGCAATATAATGAACCCTATATGAATGAGAATGTTACAAAAATCAAAACCAGGTGTTAATTCCTTTTGATAAAATCTTTGTCATTTCCCCCCAATTATCTAGTGTGTAGGTCTGTTGCTATTTGTTGATTTCCATAGGACCACCATAATTGAAAAGCAAGGCAAAGCCGTGGAACTAGTTTATGGGTTTTATTTCACTGACTTGGATGATCATAGTCTGATATGTTCACTGATACTCAAGAATAGTTTAGACTCCTTGGCATATTTATAACCTTAGTTTTCTCTGCATATCTTTGATTCTTCACAAAAAGAAGGCAAACACAACCGTCATAGCATCAAAACTTAGAAGAAGAAATGTTTCTTTTAGTAACTGCAATTAATGCACAATTTAACAACTTTAGAAATATATTTATAAAACTATGAAAGTCATTTTTACTTTTTTTGAATTTATTAAAGTGAAATCATTTATATGGGTCAAATATTTTCTCTTACTCCTAAAAACAATTAGATATGAAGATTTCCTTAGTATCTGTTCTTTATAATTGTTTGCCATTACTTGGTTTTAATTTACAACCAATTTGCAAAAGTTGTAACTTTCATATTCCTATGGAATATTTCATGGAACATATTAAAGAAATCATATTAAGGCTATTTCATTAGTTATTTGTGACTAAATCAAAAACAGTGTAATATAGGAAGCCAATTAATATACTTCAAATTGAGCAGGAAATATGACCTCACTTTGTATCACTTGAAAATTAAATAAAATCTATTCATGTTAAGGCTATTGGTTAAATGAGACCATCTTAGATATTCTGGGGTGCACAAATTATATTGAAAACTATCATTAATATTTAATCTATTATTCTGTAATAAATTTTCACTTTTTTTTCCAAATGTTTGGGAAATTAAATATTTTAATATATAATTCTTATTCAAAGCTTATACTCATTTCCTAATGATTTTTCAGGATATTCTGAGCAAGCATTGTCCATCTCCCTCAGCTAACAAGAACCAAGAAAAACCCATGTATAATGTTTCTCAAATAAGGAGATATATTTAAACATATATGATAAATAGTAAATGTTACACGCACTAATCAGTTCCGTAGTGTTGGCCTTAATATTAAACTACTTATCTTAAGCACAACAACTTGAGATATAGACATGAAAGCCTTTCAAGTCCAAAATATTTGAGCTCAAAATGCTGCATCCCTGATTTGCTGGAAATGAGTCTATATGTATGAAGGATAATAATGCATTTCCAAATCATTTTTCTGTGAAAGTCTGCAGCTTCATATTCAGGAGGAATGTTGGTGGCTTGTGAGAAGCAGAGTCAAATCAAAATCCTGAAAGTTGTATAAAACCAATACTTAAAGAAAATTGCCGTTTGAGGAATGAGAAAGCAGAATTTCTCAGGAAACTGCAACTAATTTCCAACATGACACAAAGTATTTACAAGATATTTTTTTAAAAGGAGATTCTCACAAGATCTGATGAACTATGACCAAAAAGAAACGTACAACTTATGAAATTCCTCAGCCTGATTTTTATCTCTCTCTCTAGATGTTAGCCCAACACAGAACCTTTAGGATTAGAGAGCGTATAACATTTATTACTAGAGACAAAAGACAAATCAAGGTAATTATATTCCTTGCTTGTGAATCTGCCACAGCATGTAACTGGCACTATAGAAGGGGAGTACCGGACTTGTGGAATCTGGTGTAAACCAAGAAGACTGTTCCATTTGTTAATAAATAATGTTGCACATTCTTCCTTCTCCTGTGGACTCTGACTTGAACTCAGTAAAGGCTTCCTAGATCACAGCTGGACTGTATATTCAAATGAAGCCATTTTAAGCCATTGGCTATCAATATAAGAGTGTGATGTTCATACCTATAGCAGTTTAAAACCGGTGGGTTTTTTTTTTTTTTTCATGTTAACAGACATCCTACTTTGGCTTCTGGGCCTTGGGGCAAAGGGCCAGTGGACTATTAGCACGGAATGGGTCAACTCGCCGCAGGACTACTCACCATGGCCAACTCACTGCAGGACAATTCAACAATTTAATTATTCAAAATAGTTTAAAAATATTTTAATTTTTGTTGTTCACCTTTCATTTTTTCCCTCCTTTGTCATTCTTTCTCTAATGATTCTATTCCTCTATTTCTTCAATATTAGTGTAACACTTGTTCTTTGGCCTGTGGTGAGCTGGCCATGGTGAATTGTTCTGTGGCGGATTGGCTGCTGTGAGTTGGACATGGCGGGTTGACTGTGGCGAGTTGGCTGTGGCAAATTGTCATAGACACCTATTGGCATAATCAGCATTTCTGTTCCAAAAAACCCCCTCTCTTTAATCTCAGAGGCAATAACAACCCCCCTAACTTTCAGCCTTTACAGCAGTGGACTTAATGTTTAGTTCATATTGACGATAAGCTAGTTATCCTGTGATTGATCCGCTTTTTCAGTTAATAGAGGAAGAAAGATTGCTTCAACAAGCTAGCTGTTCTTAAGCTGCTTTCCTGAGCAGTGTGCTACTCGCTTACCAAGCAGGAGCTGTGAACTAACAAGCTCCTCTTTCTGGCCTTAATCGGTTGATAGATTTCTCTATCAACTTTCTCCTCCCATGTGGTTTATGCCGCACTGCCAAATGACATTATAAGGAAATTGCTTTTGCTACTGTGTACCTTTCTATGGACTTTCCCCATTGTTCACCTAAATGTCCTTTTCTTCTGCTTTAGAAGCTAAGTAATAGAACATCCAGTTTCAGAATTTAAGAGATTTAACAGAATTTAACAGATTAACAGGGTTGGAAGGGAGGTCTTCTAGTCTAACCCCTTGCTAAAGCAGAAAAACCTGTACCATGTCTGACAAATGGTTGGAAAATCTCTTTTTTAAAACCTCCAGTGTTGGAGCACCCACAACTTCTGCAGGCAAGTCCCATTTCATTGATTAATTGTTCTAACAGCCAGGAAATTTCTCCTTAGTTCTAGGTTTCCTTCTAGTTACTCTTCCCTAGACCAGGATGAACAGTCCAAGAGATGGAAGGAAGAGTGGAGAAGTTCTAAGATCTGACCCTAAAGGCAACCCTTTTGTAAGTAGATGCCATGACATTTCCTGCTTGCCAATATGGCTCATGGTGAGTGATCTATGATGCTTTAAGTATTTATATGTTTTATTCCATGGCTGTTCACTGCCCTGAGTCCTTCGGGAGTAGGGCGGTATACAAATTCAATAAAATAAATAAATAAGAACTGAAATTTCATTAATAAGCCCTAGTTAGTTGTAATTATACTGACAACATTTCTTGTGTTCACCTTTTTTGAAATCCAATCTGCAAATTCTAAATTTGCAGGTTGGATTTCAAAATTGCAGCTGCACCAGTCACAATGTAGTAATGGCATATTTTCAGTCCTATTAAGAAATAAACATTTTTAGAAGTTCTGACTTACTGTCCTGGACCGGATTTCTTTGGCGTAGAGAGGTTTCAAGAATTCCGAATCTCCTTCTAGCTTTAAACCTTTTTCTGTAATCCTTAGATTTCCCATTCCATCCTGAAATATAGAAAGGAGTCCTATTACTATGATTTTATAAAATCGAGGTTGCAAAAAACAACAAAATCTTAAGAGAAAACACCACATAAGCTTTGCTATTCAATCATTCTTTTGGCATAGGTTTTGTAAGAAAATTGTGTTTCAAACAAACTAAAATTCATGTCTCTAAATAAGACATTTATTCAAGTGAATGATGTCATCTGGGAGAGAAGCTTTAAAAACGACGAAGTATTCTACACACTGAATGACCCTCTTTCTGTCTGCACAACTCGTTTTTTTGTTTATTAATAACCTCACTTTGCCCAAACAACCTTACAAATATCCTATATAGTTAAATATGCTCATTAGAATTCTACAATAAAAAAGAAATAAAAATAATGTTCAAGTGCCAAAAAGCAATTTACCAGAATGAATGTTTTTATACCCCTCCTTAATCTGTAACTTTTTATTTTACTTTGTGAAATTTAGCACAGGGCTGAGCAACATTCTTTTGTGGATGGCTATATCTCCTTAGAAATCTATAAATGACCACATGTAAATGAATGCTAAGGCCATTATTGTTTTTTCTTTTGCATCCTTCTTCTTTTATCTCCTTTCACATGAACTAGATTAGAATGCTGTTGACAAAGATCTGAACTGAACTGAACTGAACTGAAAGTTCAGAAAGTTTTGAAGTTAGGCTGAGGACTAATCCTTTCTCTAGCCATTAAATTTGATAGTGAAGCAGATTATCAAGAAACTTGTCATCTGACATATCAAGCACTGGTTAAAACACTTCTTATGGTTTAAGGGCTTCAAGGGCTCCTACTCCCTTGAAGTTCTGTTTCTAAGGTTTCTGCCAACACCAGTATCCAGAAGTTTCAAAATAAAGTGCGTGGATAGTTATATGCACACATAGGCCAATGCATATTAGGCCTCTGCTTTGTGAACTGTATTTGCAGGACCGCCTTCTGCCGCCGATAGCCTCCCACCGACCAGTACGCGCCCACAGAGAGGGACTCCTCAGGGTGCCGTCAGCCAGGCAATGTCGGCTGGCGACCCCCAGGGGGAGGGCCTTCTCTGTGGCAGCTCCTGCCCTCTGGAACGATTTGCCCCCGGAGATATGAAGGATATCGGATCTCCGGGTCTTTCGCCGTGCCCTGAAAACTTTTCTTTTCCATCAAGCAGGGCTGGCTTGAACCCCCTCCCCCTTTTTTAGTCTTTTTAGTTTTTTAGTTTTAAATTGTCATGGGGTTTTAAATTGAATTGTTTTAAATTGGGCCAGTTATATAATTCTTTTAACAATTTTAAATTTTGTATCTGCATGTGTTTTAGCTCTGGCTGTTCACCGCCCTGAGTCCACTAGGAGAAGGGCGGTATACAAATTTAAATAAATAAATAAACAAACAAACAAACAAACAAACAAACAAACAAATAAACAAATAAATAAATAAATAAATAAATAAATAAATAAATAAATAAATAAATAAATAACTTGTCAGTCTGCTTCTGGATCCAATTCAGTGTGGTGGTTTGTGCCATGGGACTGGGCTATTTGACTGCTTTTTCCTGTTTATATCAGCTTGGACCATCAGATCTCCCATAGAAGGCATGCTGCCTTCTTTGGCTAGGAATCAACATTTGCTGCCTTCTTTGGCTAGGAATCAACATTTGCTGGGCTCTGAGGCATGCTGTCTCTGCTGTGGAACCCACCTTATGGACTATTCTTCCCCCTGAAATTAGATTTGTTCCATGGCTTTCGACATTCTGAAATATGTCCAGTTCTGGGACTCCCATGGAACTGGACACTGATCTAGAGTGCTCCATTGTTGAAGGAGGCATTTTTATTACTTCAAATATGGGATTTTCAGTTTTTTAAGGATATTTATTATGACGATCTTTTATATTTGTATTTGCTATTTTTATAATCGTGGTTTTTATCTATTGTTGTGCCCTTCTAAAAGTCACCTTGGATGAGATGGGTGGCTATATCAATTTCATAAACAAACAAACAAATAAAGATGACAGGCAGGACCAAAACAGTAAGATGTAGTATTTCTTCTCCTTCAGTTTAATTGTTTGGGTATGGTTTAAAGGTTCTTGGTGTTGGAAAGAGTGGTGAGGTATCAGGGGATCCTAGGTCTGTCAGTCAATCTTTATTTTAGTTGCAGATGGGTATAAAATATATGGAATTACAACCATTCAAAGAATAAGGATTTAATATACAAAATTAGATATGAATTACAAAGTTATAAGGATTACTAACAGAAAACCGTAAGACTGTAACTCTAATTATAAATTAAATAATACTTGTACTTGCTATTGAAATTATGTATTCATATCCCACTTTTATTATTTTTATAAATAATTCAAGACAGCAGACATACCTAATATGCCTTCTTCCTCCTATTTTCCCCAGAAAAACAACCCTGTGAGGTGAGTTGGCCTGAGAATGCGTGTTAAAATTAGAAAGACCAAGATTTGGTAATACAATATAAAAATAAATAAAACAGAAAAACAAAACAAAATAAAGTAGAAATGGCAGACAAAACGATCTAGGCTATATAGTTATCTTCTCAGAAATTTCATAACATTAAAAAATTAGTGTGAATTTGTTAGGCTATATGAAGTTATAGGAATTAGCATTTAAGATACAAAATAATATCAACCTTACAACCATAAGATTGTAAAACTCTAACATTAAGGTTTAATTGTACGAATGGTATTTATTGACATTATTGACTACTAGGACTATCAGAGCAATATATTATAACAGAATAGCATAATATGAATAAAATAAAACACTTAAAGTAGTTAACCAAACAATGCAGAATATTTGGTATAATAAACTAAGCATTTACATTGCTACCATAAAACTGTATATAATATTGGATGTATTTAATGTAATCCAAGATCAAACAGGTGGAGCACAAAAAGAAAGATCAATACACACAAACAGCGAGCACTAAAATGAGAAAAGAAAATCTCAGGATTGGGATACAGAAATATATCTAAGGTAATGCAGCAGCTTTTTCTCCTAACATTAAAGAGTTTGAGGAGTCTGATCAGTACACCCCACTAGAACAACCAAACATATTTTAACTCCAAGCATGCTTATGGTACAGTACTGCGCGCAAACTAGGATTGCTGAAAGCTAACTTGCAAGTTTACGGTTTACTCTTCTCCTCTTCTTAGCAACTTTAAGGTGCTGGTTGGGGAATTCTTGGAGTTGAAATCCTTGCATCTTAAATTCAGTAAGACCGAGAAATACTGATTAGAGAAGACATTCAACACAATTCCACACAGTCTAGATCAGTGGTACCCAACCTTTTCGGCACCAGGATCTGGTTCCGTGGAGAGAAGTTTTTACGCGGATTGAAGGGGGTGTGGTTTCACCTGCTCCTTGCATCCCGTGGATGGGGGTTCACTGGTTTGCATGGCCCAGTTTCTGGCATGCCATGGCCTGGTGCCAGTCCACCGACCGGGGTTTGAGGATCCCTGGTCTTGATTATTCTTTGTTTGTTTGTTTGTTTTTTTACCCTTTCATCTTTCAAATTTGCCATATTCACTCATAACTGTTTTTAAACTTAACTTAAAAACTAGCTAGACTACTTTGAAATGACCCCAGAAATCACATTACTTCATTCTAATAAAAAAAGGGTTAAAAAAATGAAATAATGGAAAGAAAACCAGTAAACCAATAATAAAACATTTTCTCTTGCCAAATGCAGAAAAGGAAAATACAGCATTAATCCATTTTATCCATGCTCATCATAGAAACAAAAAATGCATAGAGTAATAACAAGGCTGAATTGAAGACCTCATTTTAAAGAAAGAATTCCCTTCTGTGAATTAAAAGCTCCAAGTTTACTTGGAGCTTACTTTCTCTGTCTGTCCTGGATATATTATGGAAAATACAGATTTTTACTGAGCATATTTATATGATGCATAAAAAGGAATTTTTCACATACAGGTGAAAATGCTTGCCTATTCAATAAAGAAATAATATGGGTTTAAAGAAATTTAGTAGATCCATAATTCTTCAAGTTTTTTTCCCCAAAAACAAATCAAGTATTGTTTGCCATTTGAGATCAAAAAGGGAAAGAGAGGAGAACAGTTCAGAAATCATGATAACTTTTGCCACTTCCATTATGTCTTTATGTCTTACTTACTCACATGTCATCCATCCTAAGGTTATGCACTCTAAATTTATGTACAGATGGACAATCTAAAACCATAGATTGTATAGAGCCGTGATGGCGAACCTATGGCATGCGTGCCATAGGTGGCACGCGTAGCCATATCAGTGGGCACCCCAGCTCAGATCTGGAATGCATGTGCGCGCCAGCCAGCTGATTTTTGGGCCTTCTGGGCCCACCAGAAGTAGGGAAACAGGCTGTTTCCTGCCTCCGGAGGGCCTGGGAGGGTGGGGAAGGCCCGTTTTTCTTTCTCACCTGGCTCCAGATCCTCTCTATGCATCTGGGGAGGGCGAAAACAGCCTTTTCCACTCCCTCGGAGGCCCCCTGGAGGCCTGAAACAGCCCATTTCCCAACTCCTGGTGGGACAGGAAGTGGCTTTTTTACTGTCCCCAGCCTCCAGAGACTCCTAGAGAGGGCTGTTTTCGCTCCCCCAGATGCACAGAGAGGATCTGGAGCCAGGTAAGAAAGAAAAATGGGCCTACTGGGACATCGCATGCCAGGAGCGGGAGGGGGTGTTGCACGTACATGTGCAGGGGGGGTGCATAGAATTATGGGTGTGGGCGCATGTGCGCACGAACCTACCCCACCCACCCCTCCTGTCACGTGATGGCAAAAAGGTTAGCCATCACTGGTATATAGCCTCTAATAATCCATTTAGATTCTTTTCCCTTTGCACATTTTATCTTTTCATGATTATAGAATGAATATGACCCAGCAGTATAAGGTAGCAAACAAGTTAAACAAAATTTAAACCACATAGAGAGAAGCATAATTTCCATATTATTATTAGTGTTATTCTTATAACACTATATTTATTACACA